GTTTCACGGATTGGGGTCGAAGGCATTCATCGTACAGGCGACCTTGTCTCAGGCAAATCCGCCGATTTAATAAAGAATCGGTTAACCCTACATTTGCATACACAACTGTAAACTCAGCGATCATTGGTAAAGACAATTAGTTAGTTTTTTATTCTACAATAAGAATAAATCATTACTGTAATAATATTATTGATTTATCTGTTTTCTTGTGAACAATACTGCTAACAAAACATCTCTATTTCTATAATTCGCTTCTTCTACTACATGTAAGGCCTTATTCTTTTTTCTGTTAAATTGTCTTTAACGAACCAAAATTTGATCAAAAATCCATAATAGTCGATCAATACTTTTTAGAGATTTATAACAAGCAAAATCTCAGATGATTTCCATAGTAATTGATCCATACTTTTTAGAGATTTGTAACATAGAAAATTGCTAATTAACCATTCTTATAGATGTACATGCTGTAAGTCGAAATAATAGCAGTAAAACTTCGTTGTTATATCATAAAATATTATTGTTGATCTCTCGTAATGCTCTTTTAAGATTTCTTGATTCAATATAAAAATACATTTACATAATATATAGTGGTTAGCTGTTTCTACTTTATTATTATTTTGTACAAAGATTTCATTTAAATTGGAGCCAAACATTAGATGTGATAATTTTGTCGTTCATTTTAACTTCTATTAATATATTAATCCTTTTGGCCATTGCACTTAAACAGCAGTAGATGAAATAAAAATTTTCATCTCAATTAAACATTAAACTAAATATATCACAATTTTAAAGTCTTATTTTATATAAAATTAGCTTGATAAATGTCAACATACTGTAAAAGGCATAGGTAGGCGTTTCAAAACTTTTAAGACATAAAATAATCAAATTTAATAATATTATAGCCTATGAATGGTTAGACAGGTCAAGCTATTAACTTTTACAATGGCGCCGTGCCTTTAAAATAAATACGCACATTACATAACAAACTTAACGAATATAGCTATTAACCAATCGGCTAGATCATTAATATTAAGCTTTATCATCAAGGAAATACTAAAAATATATTAAAAATTAAAGAACAAATAGTTTTTACATAGCGGTCGCGGTGTATGAAAAGTCGGTATTAAAGTGTGTACACCAAAAGGCACTGACCTCAGCCGCAAATCGTCAATTGGGAGAGCCGACAGTACTCTTACTCTTGACCCCAACTCTTGAATTACCTATCATCAGACTTAGAAATAATAACCTGTTGCTATCCGAATGGAACAGGTGATCTCTATATCACACCCTAACTACAATCAAATAAAGGATAATTCTCGAAACTTCTACGGCAAATTGAGGAAATTTAAATGCATTATACGCCAAAATATAATAAGATTGTGGGCATTCTTGAGATTAGAACTACAAAATTAATAAATGAATACTACTAATGAATTCCGAAATTTCTTTTCGTAATAGTAGACTTAAAAGAAAACACTGCGACGTATCTAAAAAGATTGAAATTATAAATGACCTTTAAGTTATAAATATATAAAGATATTGTTCTTTAGGAAACTTAATCAAAATCATCATCATCCGAATTAAGTGATTGATTTTTGATATAGAGATGAACTTGTAAAGAATAAAAGAACTAAATAAGCAAAGATAAATACGTAAATCATGAAAAATGACTGTATTTCACAAGAAATCAATTAATTCAAATCTTAAAACTAACAAAGCTATAATCGATCGAACTTATTATCAAGCTTTAAGTAAATTATGATTGTAGGTTTAGCTTTTATGGCACCGATATAATGTTTACAATGTCCTCCAAACCGTTATAATGTTATTAACAGGCGCTCAAAGATGATTACTGACTAAACTTCGTGAAATTAACAATAATTGAAGCGTAATTCCCATATTTAATAGTATACCGACGGTGTAACATTTACCAACACTTGTAAGGCCATCGAACAGACGCCATATTTAGTGTTGCACTAACAAAAAAATATTTCTATTTTTAACATCGAATATATATAATTTTTTTGTAAATTATATAAATATTATAATATTAATAAGATGAATTTCGTAAACTAAATATGTAACCCAGTATTGAAGACTGCAGATCAAAATGTAATCATTTAATCGAGTGCATGAGCACTCAACCGACGTTGTTGTAACCAGACAGTGTCTAATCTAGGGCTACCAATACATTTATTATTTCACCTTTATATTTTTTACTATTACTATATTTACTATTTAATAGTAACAAATATTAATTAATAAAAATGACTTAAAACTTTATACATTTAACACTTTTTTTCCAATACGTCATTATAAAGCTAAACTATGCGCTAATATTCTCACAATTCCACGCCGATATCGTCTTATTTACAGTTATATATTACGTTATCTATATCCAAATAAACGAAACAATATATACATATAAGAAATAAAATTGAAACTCCTCACAATGAGTAGTAAAAGAATCAATTTTCCCGAATAATATCTATATATATGTGTAATGTTTACATGAAGTTTTAATTACATATTATTAGCATATTTTTTCTGATAAACATTGTTTACAAAACATATCATTCTTTAGTAGTTATTTATAAGCTCAATGCAAGGTATAAGCCCTGTGATAATTTTGCACGCGGGTAACGTGTGACTCCCGTCACTGTCATAGTAAGATTGTACTTACACTTTCTACACACTATTTATTGTACTGACATATGCTTTCTATAATCTGTGGTATTTTTATGTCAAAATAAGTTTGAGTTTCTATATTTTGAATGCTAAAATCTCATTAATCACTACTTAAATTTAAGGCGTATATTTTTTAGAACACTTTTAGCGTACAATTAACTAGAAGCTACTCAACTAGATAACATTTTTAATGTAAAATCGTACATTGCAATGTTGCTCTATAAATAAAATCAACGCTATAATTACGTATACATAACAAATTGCAATGTATATGCAATATTGCGTCCGCTCAATTAAAATTCCCGGCATCGCTTCTACTGAATGTACATAGTAAAATTGTCCCAAACATAGCCGTATGTTTTGTTCTGTTTATAATGACCTACAGCAAAATTGTGTCATTGAAGTTATTTATAAACTAGTCGAGATATTAATGCATCAAGTATACTTGGGGGGAGATGGATTGATTATGACTAATACCTACTTCAATTACTACAGACTTCCTATACTTAGCTTTATATTACAAACGCGAGCCGTAGAGTAAGCACTAAGCAGTAAGCGTAAATTAACTCAAACGTTTGGTAAGTAGTAAATATGTAGAAATAGCCATACAAGATGATGACTCCACAGTTTAAAACTGCACCCACCCTATACTATTCTTAGAACATCACTTAAAGAAAGGAAGACACTGATTTGCATTTTTATGAATGATGAAGGCTGAATCATCATTGCATATTATTATATAATTTATTTATCAAATTTATTATTAATGAAGCCCATACTATTAAGGCATGAACACACTTAAAGCGATTACGGATTTAGCTGTAAAATTTATAGCATACTTTATCATAAATATTTTACAACTTTCAAGTAATGTAGTCTGTTTGATAGATGTGTCTATAAAATGAATGTCAGCTTTATACCTTATTTATAGGAAATGCTGGATTTTATATTATTCGTAAAATAAATGGACAAGCTTCATATTTCATAACTGATGATTCTCATGAAGGGACATAAATATAAATTACTAATATTTTATAAATGGTTAATACTGCTCATATTATATTTTATATCTTCGATATAGCATTTAATTGGATTTTTCCAGACTGTATTAGTATTTAAACAAATATTACTAAATTGTGTGAACTATTTGTTTCAAAAGAAACTTCTTAATAATCTTATTCAATGATTTTGTTATTAAAGCTTACAATAACTTCTTCAATCTTAAAATTTTGATATAAATATCATATCCGAATTGCATTAAACATACTAACGACCCAGATGCTATTTGACTTGCTGTACCTATATACTTAGAAAAACCGTAAAGCAAATAATTTATTGAATAATTGATAATGATAATCTATTAATCTCGGATTTTTTAAAAATAGAAATGCAATTCAAAATATATCATATAAATAAAGAAATATTTTATAATATTTTCTTACAAGTTCATCTTTAAAAGATATTTCTACTACATATAGACTAAATTTATATATTTTTAAATTCATTAGAATTTAGACGTAATCAGAATAATAATATTTAATAAAATATTATTTATAAATGATGGTACATATGTATTGATATGTATATTTCATAAAAATATACATAAATTACAATAAATAAAAAATAATATACATTAATGTTATTGGAAAATGAAATTTTAATAATGATGACAATTATACATAGTGAATTGGGAAGTAGACACGAAAACGGAATTACATAATTTCATTTGTGTAATGGCCTTTTCTGTATCAATAGGGCCTCCATATTATTCCGGTTCCTCTATTATTTAGTATTTTTAATATACAAGTCACTTCCGAACTTATTGAAGACTAGATTTTGGTCCACGAAAACATAAATAAACGCCTTTGTCTTTATTATAGAGTAAGTTGATTCTATCCAATTCACTTAGAACCCTATATAAAAGAATGTTATATCTATTTTTATATAGACGAAAGTAATTACCTATCATTTAAATAACATCATGACATTAAGCTTACAATAAAGGGAAAAACTAAAATCAAATGCAATATGAAAAGTGATACACTTAGGAAATGAGAACCAATACATAATATTAGATCTGTTATCCTAAGTTTTAGGGCGGAGTCGGTGTCGAATAACACTTACCCTACAGTATAAAAGAGTAAAAGCTACTCCTGTTACGCGCACTCAAGCCTCAGATTACAGAAACATACGTTTGTAATTGATCCCGACAACCGGTCGATTCTTTTAAGTATTTTATATTGTGAGTTTTATATATATTACGAAATTAAATGTAAGAATCAATTGTTCAAATGTATCCTATTCCAGATAAAATGAATATGAAGACATTGCTGACGTTATTCGGTATGGCGGTGTTGTGGGATTGGAGGTGTGAAGCAGCGACTGTAGCTGTTAAGCTGTGTGGAAGACAGCTAGGGGACATGATGAGCAAAGTCTGTCATGTGTACAATAGTCCCCCAGGGGATGTACCTACAGGTACGTGAAGTTGACCTAATAGAATCCATGATAAACTTCCGAAAACGTTACACACTTGCATAGTAACAATAGTGTCATATAAAACATGCCTTAGACATAACTTAAAGTAAGGTTTGTTATTAGTAAATGTACGTATTATCTTCGATTAATTTCAATTGTCATCAAGTGAAACTATGTGAGTTAGTCATCAATGTTAATTACTCAAAGCAGTCTTTCGCTCAGAGATGTGCGATATTATTATTATGAATAATTTCACACTCACTTATACTTCGCAGTAGTTTAAAAAAAGCATTTTTTTTTTTTTGCTTAAATACTTTTTAAAGAAAATAATAGTTCCATTGCTGTCCTTCCTACTAACACGACTATTTTCACTTTTAAATTTTGTGTAAAACGATTGAATATCAAAAAATGATTTATGTTAAACTATACTATATATTTATATGTACTGTATAGGGCAGTTAATTTTATATGTATATATTTGACTCACGTATAAAGTATATTAAAACTTCACTTCAGTTAAGATAACACTAGAAACGTACAAACAAACAAACAAACACTTTCGGGTGTAAAGCGTCACCAAAGATCAATTGTAAATGAGAACAAAAAGTTATTTATGCATTATCTTTGTCTTTTTAAGATAGCTCCAATGTATTCAGGGTATCAAATGTCTAGCTTATCACAGCCATTGTTTTGAAGCGAAAAAAAAATCATAATATTATGGACCTTTCGGTGTTAAAATGAACTTCAGGGCCCATTACAATAATATCCGCCTCACGACAACTTATCATTAAAGCGAATAAGGCTGTTATCAGACTATTGAATAATATTAAAGACCAAGTAGACATTATCAATGTAATAAAAATAGCCATGGGGAATTTTCCACGTCTGTTGGAATTAAAAATAAGTTGTGATAAATAATAAAAGTGTTACATTAGGGATCCGTAGCTACTTAAAATTTTTCGTGCTGTATAAAATTTTCTCAACCTTCTTTTTGTTTTCTTTTAAAAAAAGAGATTTTGGCATTAGCGAAATATATAACAATAAACTTTTGATTTGGTCCGATATAGTAGGTATTTTATAAATATTTTTATCGTCTCTCTACTCGACCTTTTGAATGTTTACATCTAATACTTAATCACAGGAAAAACAAGCGCGGAGACACTTACCCTCTTATTTAATTATGACCCCAGACTTGTTGAGTATCTTTAGATGAGACACGAAACCAATCCGTGATATATAAATACATGCTCCAAGAGCCAAGGACGCTATGAACGCAACTATGGAATTTTCCAATAAAAATGGGCTAACGTAAAGTCACTGGAACGCTCTTTGATAAATAGATTTTATTGTCCGTTTTAATGCTGTCGATAAAAAAAGTGTGTTGTAAAGCTTCAAATACGTGTAATATTGAATTGAAACTGTCGCCGTACATCCTACTAGAAAATTTTGATATAAAATCAGTGTCATTGTTATTTCTTCAATAATTATATTTTCTTTTAGTTGTAGAACAACCACATCCATTAGTGAGAAGACGGAGAAGAACAGGCATAGCAGACGAGTGTTGCATCTACGGCTGTACGTGGGAACAATTGTCTTCATATTGTGCCATTAGTGCTAAGTAAGTAAATTTAAGACATTTATTTATTTATTTATTTATTCATTTACATCTACCTTTTTTGGAACAGGGCTTTTCGTAAACTGACCGAATTAAATATAGTTACTTATTTTTTGTTCTTCTAATAGATTTGGCATGTAAGAATAATTGCGTCTTAGTAGAGCTAGCTTTGCAATTTAAATCTCACGACGCCTTTGCAGGATGAAATTGAAGAATAAAATTAATATCATATACATATATTTATGACAAAATATTATAATAATTTTAGAACCTCCTTAACATTTTATGTCATTAAACAATTATACTGGAATTCGTAAAGCACCTGATTGAGTTATCATATTATAAAGGCATATTATAGTTATTATATAGTTATCATTTTGGAAAAGTGCTGACACTTTTACTTTGCTTGACCGATGTTTACCAAACTTAGCTGAGAACGAACGCAAGGATGGTGGCTTTGAAAGAGAAAAACAGCATCGAAATCGATCGATTCGTTTTACAGTTACGATGTCACGGATAGACACATACAGACACGTAAACACACAACTTCCAAGTCAAACTTATAATATTTATTGCATTGAGGGTTCAAAATATATATCTTTTCTTTATGTATATAATTCTTCTGTGAGTGTGTATGTCACTCAACTTCTCTCAAGAGACTGGACAGATTTTGATGAAATTATTTGTGTGTGTTCATGGGGACCTGGGAATGGTTTCGATTCACGATTTTGTCCGCTGGACAATGTTTTTTTAATTAATTTTTAATTTATTAGTAGTTGTTGATACAAACGTTTTTTTGTCCTTAGATTTGACAACTAACTAATATGTCAATCATTCTGTCGCACTTCAGAACACGGAGATTTATTAGTAATTTAATAGGTAAACTCCAAAATAATAAATAAAAAAACGTAACAGATATTTCTTGATTATAGGGCGATACGAAGTTCGCCGGGTCTTCTAGTATATATATATTAATCAAGCAGATGAAACTAATGATAGAAGTGTACCTAAATTTCCTAATACTGTGAACACACCATTCCGTGACATGACCATAAGTTCATCATATTTCAAAAATCGAATTAACATAATAAATTTTCTCATCAATAACTTTCTTAATTAATCAATAATTTCGGGGCACCCAGTAATACGGGTTTGCACCTAGTACAGGGGTCTTGCAACTTGTTTGTTATGTACCTAATCCTTAAGTCAATAAAGTTTATTTTTATTTATTTATTTAATAACTTTACTCTTAGCCGTAAACTAATATATTATAACATGTAGGTCGGAATCGCCGCTGGACTCGCTGGAGGCGCACATGATAGCTGACAGGTCGGCGGAGGTCGCGAGCAAGTCGTCGGCGTCTAAAGACACGCGCGAGGTGGGACGCCGCAGTCGCGGGTACGGGAGGGGCCGCTGTTGGTGCCGGCGCCGCTCGAACCGGCGACCATTCATGGGTAACACGGTGTGTTTCACTCGCCGCTTTCTTGTTACGATTTAGACAACATAACTATTATATAACAAAACCACAATATCACGAACAAACACTGGTGTGATAATAATCATAATGGGCTTTGGTCTTCTGTAAGTGTTGGATCTATTGAATGCTTTTTTATCAATCTAATCCTTCTAGTTTTAGTTTAATCACCGACATCTTTCAATGCTTTTAAATTGTCATCATCTGTCATCCGTCTTTTGTAATTGGCTAATAATTTTATTCCTTCAATGTCAATTTCATTGTTTTAACTGTCACACCAGTGTTTCGAATGCGTTGTATAACTTAAAAAAGTGATTAAAAATTGAAAATAAAAGGAAAATATAATAATTTAAAATACAATTAAGACAGTTTCGCAAAGATTATGTGGAACTGATATATTTTATTTGAAATTTATATGTAGAACAAGATATGTAATAAAATACAAGAAAGCGGTAACTAACCCTCATACTAACGCTATTTGCATGGTACTAATCCTTTCATGTAACAAATACTTATCCATTTTATGTATAATTGTTTCTTGGAGTAAAACTAAAACAATCCTATTTTGTGTTTAGATAGAAAAAACGTATTATAAATTTCAAGTCGCATATATGAATATAAATAGAAGTTTTAAAATAATATTTTAATTGCATTCAGGAAATTTCTGATAGATTATCCAAACCATCTATAAACAGGATGATCTTATTAAAGTATTGCTGATTTATCGTTATACAACCGCTAACTTTCGAGATAACTGCTTATCTGTTTAAGTTACCATGAACTTTGTCCGATCCAACCTGCAGGGTGATCTTGAGAATTAATTATTGTGACCTATGACCCACATTTAATGTAGTATAGATAACATATTGCATTTTATTGGTCTATCTGTTCAGGAGCGCATAAGAAATGCCGCGCGCGCTGCTCCCGTGCTAGGCACGGTGTCGCCTCTACTCACCTGGGGCCGAACACTCAACACTGACTTCCCGAGGCTCGAACGTGATAGATACGCATACATATCTGTTTACAGTTAACTTATCAATAACAGACGTTAGAACGATAAGTAAATGCAGTTACGTTCACTAATAGTGTTAGATATCGTAACGCAATGATCATTAGGAAAAAATTAAAAATTGCATAGAAATGCATCACATAATAAAAATGTTCACATATATTATTTTCATCTGTATCAAAAATTTCGATGAGATGAAATAATAGAACAATTTTGTGGTAGAAGCTAAAGTGGCATTGAATTAATTTAGGTATAAATTCTAGCATATTTTTATATTTCACACCAATATTTAAAATTTACATTTATCGAAATGTCTGGCGGTCATTTTGACAGCTAACGTCACTGTCAAAGTCATCACTGACACTTTAAATGTCATAGGTATTAGATGTGTATTATAAACAAATGAAATACTTTAATATGCGTAGAATTTAATAAGCATAGTCCTGCAAGGCCCCAGCAGTTTATCCAATGGTTCAAGGTTGTAGTCGCTTTTTAAGTAACAAGTACCTTCCTAGCAATGTGTTCAAGTACCTAGTTTTAAACTTAATAATTACACGATGGGGCGATATATTTTTTTTGTACCGTAGACTATATTTTATCTAGGATTTTATATTTGAAAATTTATTATTAACTTTATGATTTCAAATTCTTCACAATCCGAATACAACTAAATTTTGATATATATGAAAAATTATCAAAATCTTTTTATCTGTATTCTACTTAAGATTACTATTATATATTGACTCTCATAATACTTCAGATGCAATTTAGGCTTTAAACAGAACAATAATTTTAATAATAATGTTGTAACTATATCCATAATAATAACAAAACACCATAATAGATAAATACAAATTATATAAACATATTATTTCTAAGATTGTATGTAAATCACCTACCATATAAGTTTTGAAGATCTCTTAAGCAACTGTGATAATTCCATTTGATAAAAAAAAAATCATTAACTTATAAATTTTAGATTATCCAATTAGTTTAAAGTATTTCCTTGCCATGTTTGTGTGTTTAGATTGTAGATATGTTGATATGTTTTAGTTATAAGAGAATGATTAAATGGATGATATAAAAACATTATTTGTTTTTCATTACAGACACGAAAAAAATATATATTTAAAAAAAATAATTTATTAAATGATTAAATAAAACAATAACAACTTACAAACTAAATGCTCGACAAACATTATTACTTTATATCATTCTTTACTGTTTTTTTTTTGAGTAATATTTACTTAATACTATATATTTTACTATTATAATAAGAACCAAGAACATTCCTAGTCATAGTGGACCTTTCTGATCATTGTTTTCACCCGAGTTATGGTCATTCTTTGATTGATTGCTGTTGTCCCTTAATGGTATGATTTGGAATCTTAAATTATTACCTTTGTTCCTCTTTTGTACAATATTCCCAATAGATTTTAAATTCTTCTCTATAATTGAGTATATCCTTTCCTGTAAAAGATATAGATAAATTAATATATGTAGAATTTTTTCTATATACACTATGACTACAATTTTAGATCGAAAGAATATGACAAAACACTGATTTGTTGATAAGATCACAAAAATTTTGGTAAGTTAAATAGGATAAACATCTTCTAGTAATAAAGAATATTTCAATTATAAAACCAGATACTATTAAGCCTAAACCTTATATTTTTTATGGTTATGTATGTTTTAAACTGAACTTTGTTACAAAATTTTCTGATAGCATGAAATAGGCAGATATGTAAGTAAGTGGCCCCTGGCTATTAATCCGTACTATAATTTCTGCCTTCTAATCCGATATGGTCTATTATTTATTATTGAATATGTTTCAGTCAATCTTCACTAAGACACAATTAAAATCCTTTATCTTTTATACACCATATTATCTGAATTATGCTTGCTTATTTGAATTCGACTACATATCATCAAAATATTGATATTTGTCCTTCTGAATACATGTATAATATTAAATATATAAGATATATAATCTTATCATTGGCCCTATTATTAGTCAGATTACAAACTACTGTATGTTAAAAAATTCTAGACTAAGGTGAGTCTTAGTCACTACTTTGTTTTGTAAATTAAATTTGATAGTCTCACACTGCACTACAAAATGAATGTCAGTTTGCCTGGAGTCCACAGTATTTATAAAGTCTTAGTAGGACACTAATTTTAAAGAAGTTATGGTTGTTTATTTTGAATAGGGTGTAGAGTAATCCGTGTAGAGACTTTCACTATATGTTCTGCTAGTGTTGTGTAGAATGGAGAAGAAACTATTATATTTAATAAAAATCTGAACTATTTGTAAACAATGTCTTTTGTTACATACTTATAATGAATGACAAAAACTAGTATAATAAAGTCATCTGCTTACTTGATAAGTATAAAGAAATAGAGCAAGTATAATGAAATAATTTAAAAACAACTGTTAATATAATTTACTACAAATGTATCTTATTGAGTTACTAGGTTCTATATTACAGTAGCATCATTATAATGTACTCACGGCTTTTTCCGGTTGAGTTTCATCACCAGACACAACAACCCTGACTTCATAGCTCTTTTCTAACAGCTTCATCATCTTCTTCACATTTGTCATCACATCATGCTCAGCTATTCTCGACGAGAGTGTTATTAGCTTATTTCCCTTGATTAGTTTATTTTCCTTGGCTGCCTTCTTTTCAATTCTAGCAGATAATTCCTCTTCATGGTACTCTGCGTTAGTCATCAATCTGAAAGTTATATGTTCAAAGATTATATTATACTAGTTTTTAGCATCATGCTACTGGTGCTACTGGTTGTATATTTATTTTAAATCTACTCATGAGGTACCAAATAAGACTATGCTTAGAACGCTATAGAGAACAATAATTGGATCAAGTATAGGGTTCTAACCATATCCATCCTTGAGTTTTCTAAGAAAATCAACACCAATGTATGAATGTAATTTAATAAATAGTGTTTGGGTATTTAAAAATAGAATTCATATATTTTTTTTAATTTCGTGTCTGATCTACAAAGTTGTGTCTAAAGGTATACAGCACTGGGGTACCCACTTGTAAACAGGCCTTCTCGTTTTAGAATCTTCATCCTGGATTTTTACTAATTTTAAATCACGTCTAGTTGATAAATTTTGAGCGTTTTTAAGGTCAGTTATAGTTATAGAATTGTCGCTACCGATCAAAGTTATTCTGTTTTCAAAAATCTTTTTCTTTGGTACATCTTTCCCGTCGGCAGTGATCCTGGTTGCGATTGATCGGCATTCCAAAACGCGTCTTACACTTAACAAATTACGCAATTTGTTCATTATTTACAGTGATATTGTGATGTAGTAATCAAAATATATATTTCTGAAATGTTCCTTATAAATCAGATGTAATGACTATTGTTTAAAATTTAAAAGAATATCATATTCACATTTCTCGAAGGTTGTGATTACTATATAGTATATTTAAATGTTATAGTAAATAGTAATCTATATGAATTTGGAAATACTGTCAATGTCAATTGTCATTGACTATAGTTATTGGTTTTATTCTAATAGCCTTGCTAGTTTTTGGTTATATTGCTTACTGTTTCTGGTCACATTGTTGTGCAACTTATTGGTTTAGATTAAAGTGTGATCCAAAAATTATGACAATTTCATACCTTCATACATTTAAAGGATAGATATTCGATAGAAATAAATAACGTAAATAATTTTTATTGATTATTTTAACATTGGTTAATTATGTATTAGTTACTACACCGAAACCAAATTAATAAAAATTGTTACCTAAATTTGTTAAAAAAGAGGTTGAACCTGATAAATTAGCGTAACATTTGATGATCATTAATAATTTAAAAATCTAAAATGTAAATTGTTAAATTATAAAATAAATGTCAAAAATAACAAATATAATATCAAAGATAATTTAAATATATAGACATAGACAATTTTATCTCGTACACCATAGACTGCGGTTATTGTTGTCAACTTCATCTACAATTTGTCGTAAATTTGTTCTTTCAGTTTTGACAGCAGGGAAGACAACCATGGTTGGTATTTAGGTTTTCTAAATCTTTATTAATCTTATAAATCCGTTGCATTTTCAATATAATATGTTTAATATTTTTCTCTCTAATATTTCAGTCGGCCCACAAGACATTTATTATTAAGCGGAAGCTTGCTAAAAAGCTAAAACAAAACAGACCTATCCCGCAATGGGTTAGAATGCGCACTGGAAACACAATTCGGTAAGTTTTTTACATGATTAATATAAGAAAATGCTTAAATTATGTTGTTTTGAACGATACGCATATTTTTTAGAGTGTATTCATAAATATGAGGACAATAAAGAATCACTTTGTACATAATTATTATTGATTCTGAGTACCATAACTTAGGCCTCGGCCTCGAATCTCGCGGGTAGCGGGGCGGCAGCGGCGGCGGCACGAAAACGCATACATTTCTCCGTGCCCCCTCCCCTCTAGTTTGGAGAATAGTATGCGTTTCCGTGCCGCCGCCGCTGCCGCCCCGCTACCCGCGAGATTCGAGGCCGAGGCCTTAATATTGATTCAAACTATGAATGCAGTTTCTATATGTTGTGTAATTTGTATGCATTAGAATCTTTTGACGTCGAAGGTATATTGAAATGCATTAAGTATATAAATGCAATGCATTAAAATGTTATGATATATTTTGTCTATTATCCTGACCTCCAGCCAATGAATGTTTAAGTTATTAATTATAAAAGTGTATATAAATTTTATACCATGCGTATAATTCTATACCAATTACTTTTGGCTTTTTACTTGGACTACCTGATTTAGTCTCATATAATATAAAATACACTTTTATTATTTGAAATGTTATGTCAATGTTTTTATTTTCTTTATGGCCAAATGTATTGTTATATTCTACGAAAATATTACATCTTGAAATATTTATATAGATAAATCTATGAATAACGATACATAACAAAAACTATTGGTGAAAAGTGACATACACTCAAACATGTGCAATTTAATTTGTAACATTTCAATGGCTTTTATGTATAAGGGCCAATGTGCAAAATGTAAATTTTTCAGTAGAGGCCTTTTAAGTTTGATTTCAATGTATCTTTTACATGCAACAACTGATGCTTTTGAAACTTTGTTTAGCAACTGTGACATGCATGTATGTCTTCACCAACAAATACACATTCTTTTTAAAAGCATGTTGTAGAATACAGTATTATGAAGTGTTTTTAAGCCTAAAATGAAAATGGCTAAATTACTACATTGGCCCTTATACATAGGACCCATTTATTTATTGAATTTACAGTTTTGGTATTTACAGTTGTGTTCTTTAATGTTAAACCATATATATAATGTAGATATTCTTTTGTTACAGTTACAACGCTAAGAGGCGTCACTGGAGAAGGACCAAGCTCAAGCTGTAAGCTTGAATCTACTGTCTTGTATCTGCTAAGTGAATAAATTTATGTAAACACTTATATTCTGTATTATTTAATTTACCTAGTTCAAGTAATAATAGTTCCTATTACTTTATAACATTTGAAAGGCCTGTAATATTCCATTTAGTTTAAAATTTTATCTAACCAGTTCTTAAACATTTTGAACCAATAATGAAACTAATGCTTTAGGAATATACATGTTTTTTATTATTTAAAACTACATACTCCTGATGTTTTGGTTACTTTGCAGCAAGAGAGGTCACTGACAAATAGGATGATTTTTTTAGGGATTATGTAGTTTAGAGTAAATAATAAGAGTACTACAGAAAGTACCTTTAATTGAAATGAATGCTTGCTAGTCTAGATATCAATGCACTTTTAAGCAATTTTGTGTTGGCTGCTTCCTATATATTGTTAAAATATGATTATATTTTCATATAATGAGGTAAAACTACTGAATTCTGATTTATTCCATTAATCAGTTACCACTATCCCTATAATTACACAAACCTCCAGTAATTCTGATAATTATTTTAATACTTGATTTATGTAATCAAAATACTCTGAATTATATTGTGGCAACCAGAGGTTCCAGGGAAACTACGAAACTTAGTTATATGTATATTATAATGAGAATTACATATTAAAACATAACCTATACTTAAGACTACATGATTGTCCCAATGTTAGGATAGCAATTAGCAATGCCATTCCATAACTTGTGTGGTATGAGGAATCTTCTGGTTCACACGGCTTGGTGTTCATTACGCAGAGTCGACATCGTCACTCGTTAATCGTTAGGTATATGATTTTTTGTTGTTTATTTATTTTTTAATATGTTGCGCGTACGAAACATTGTCTCGTTAAAAAAAATAGGTTCAAAAGAAGTCATGAATTTTTATGGGTTAAAAATATGTGCTTTTTGTTTCTTTATAAATATTTGGTAATTAATAATGTAAAGTGTGAGAACACAAGATATGACAACCAACTTATAGCGACATCTATTGTCTGGGTGAGGAGACTTCATACTCTATATGTAGTTCTATACAGCTTTTGGGGTCTTTTACCGCGCAATAATAGTACAAAAATTCGGGACAAATTATAGTATACGTTTTATTCTGATGTGTATATGTAATGGTGAGATGTTGTTTTTTCTTATATATGTCGATTTAAACTTAAGGAGTGTCGATTCTTTAAAGAGTATGCTTATTAATATGCCACTATATATCAAACTTGAAAAATAGTCTACAATTAGGGGTATTTCGGAAAATGAAAAAGACGTCGCTTTGTACAAATGATTTATTTCAAGTTATGATATAATTTTAACTAACAATTAAATAAATACAATAGTAAACATTTATTTAAAACAAGCTTTTATTTAATCTGTCTCTATATATCCCGCACGGTTTGTCTTAAGCTAATTTACAAATATCAAAAAAGAGTTTTTATATTACAATTGATCTGTTTCTTTAAAGTATTGATACAAGCGCTGCCTCGGTCGGCTGCGGTGTTAAATGAAAGCTTGTAATGTACAAGTATCACATTTTTAATACTGACTATATATTTTTAATCCAATAGGGATATAAAGTTTTGTCAAGTGGTCTCCTCTTTCGCGGTTTCGGATGCTGCTTCCCTCTGCGACTGTCTTATGAGCTCTTCTAATAATAGTTCATTGTCAATTAATTCTATACTGCCTGTGGGCTGTAACGGAAAAATTCAAATTTAGGATTTTAATTCAAATTGAGTTATAAAATGGAACGCATAAAAGAGGTTGTACGTTATTTTATTATGTTCATTTTGTATACACATATATTATGCGTGTTCGTTCTAATTGTATTATTATCTGTATTAGAAGTAGTAAGAACAATTAGCCTTATTGTAAACTTGTTTTACCATTTAGAGTGTTTCATTAATATACCCTTATATCCTAGATTCAACTACGATACTTTATCCATTCCTAAAGCTAATAATGTGAGATGTCAAAAAAAAAACGAGATCTGTATTAGATATTAATTTAAAATTTTTAGAAGTATATGAGACCAACAAGAACTGGGAAGAGACAATAGAAGTTCCCTATCAAATATTAAATATCCCACATACAAATACGATTATAAAATAGGAAATGTGAAGAAAAATAACGAACTATTAAAAGAATAAAATACAAGTTAAACTTTTTACGTAGAGTATATTTGTTGCTGAGAAATTAAACTCTTATCGCTTATTTAAGAAGTTTTACAATAAATCTTGTTGGTCCATTCTAACAAAACAACTTTGGACAATAATTCTAAACATATAGCGAAAATAAGGAATACTTCATCAGTACTGTTAAAAGTACTAATGGAAGACCTAACTTCAAGAGTTCTTAATTTTTTTCAATTCAAAGTTCTGGCAAAGGAATATACAAGAATTAGAAAAATTTTCAGAGAAATATAAAGTGACAGTTTATATTATAAACTCTACTTATTTTATAAACATGTATGTATATCCTCAAAGGTTCAAAGTATTTTAAGACTTACTATTTTAAGACGTCTTTTAACGACCAGGGAAGAAGAAGAATACTAGAAAAATTTCTTGGACCTAAAATTTTCATTAGACGTAACAAATAACACGAATCAGAATTTAAGAATTCTGGACAAATATTTGAAAAAGTTTTGTTGGAACACTGAAGGGGTCAATGAAGTATACAGTGTCTAAAAAAACTGAGTGCCGTCAAAATTTATACGACCAACAAAAAACCAAATTTATTTATACAAAATCTATCAATATGTAATCTCAACGATATTCAAGTCCATTTAGGTGTAAGTCAGCCTTACAGCAACTACTTAAAATTATCCTATGTTTTTTATTTTCTAACCTTGATGTATCTATCGGAGTTACTATATATGTAGAATACCATTAGAACAAGACAATCCTGACGTCATGCAATTGTTAGTCAGCGACATGCAAATTAAGTTAGAAGATTTACAAATAGATAACATTTCTAGTAACTATAATAAAAGTGTCTGAGAATCGTGGATTGAAAATATGAGCAAAATAACTTACAATACGAATATGGAGAAAGTTTGGCTTTTTCAAAATTAATCATGGAAACTTCGTGTCGAACTCAAAAGAAACGCAAATATATCTTCGTATAAAAGTTCAAGGTCGTCTATACCTAAAGATACTAGCAACGTAAAATCAATATTGCTTTAAATTTTGCTTAGCTTGGAAAGAATTAAATTTGGTCACAAATCCTAGTTAACTAATTTGTACCTATATTATAAAATCGCTTTAAAAACGTTGTTTTTTCTATTAAGTTAATTCTTTTTACATATACAATGGAATATGTATAACCTGTTGTGCGCTTACGGATCGAGCCATAAGCTTCTGTAGGTATTTCTCCTTTCGATGTTGTTCTCGTAAACTTTTCAAACGATCAAAATCATCCAATTCCGCGTCATCACCTCCGTCCACTTCATCCACTGAAACAGAAACGAATTAAAATATCAAACAAAATTATTAGCTACATCCACGCAGTCAAATCCCTACTAATATTATAAATGTGAAAATAACTCTGTCTGTCTGTTACGCTTTCAGGCCTAAACGACTGAACTGTTTTTAATGAAATTTGGTACAGAGATAGAGTTGACCTTGAGAAAGAACATAGGATAGTTTTTATCCCAGACTTTTGAAAGGTTCTCTTGGAAACGCGATATAACCGAACTCCACGCGGACGAAGCTGTATTATTATAATTGTTTTGTATTAACTAAGTATTATATTACGAAAATATTCCTAAGATGAGATCTAATTTTTCGCGAGTTTTATTCATTTAAATGAAATTAATATTTTTCGAATTATACTACGCGACTTTATTTTCGTAAAAAATTATATGCTCCGGACGTTTCGACTACTTTTCAGCAACCGTAATCACGGGCAGACGAGATGTGAGTCCATTATCACAGTCAGGGCCGTTTTATCCATTAGGCATTATAGGCAACTGCCTAGGGGCCCTGCCACGTTCAGGAGCCCCTGTGCTACAGGGAAAAGAATGGGCAATGTTTCTTAAACAGTAAAAAATTAATTTGAAAATTTGCTCTGTACATTACATCGACGCTATTTTAGTACATTTCGGAACGCATTCCTTATTAGATATTATTATTATGATTATTATTATAGTTTAAAAGTTTATAATGCAGTAATATAATTGCAAGCAATTTTATCGCGGTAATTTAATTAAAAACGCTCAAAACTCTTTGTTGTGAATGCACACTTACTATTCTGGTACCTACCAAGTATGTATATTCTATGGCCAAGCTACTTTCTTAAGGGTGGCAGTACTGGTTCGTTGGCATGACCGGGGAATGAAATTAATTAAAAACTGTCTTCGTTCAACGACGTCTCAAAACCGTTTAAATTCATTGGCTATAATGGCAATTGAAAATGACGTGTTGGAGAAGATTACCTTTCAGGATATCTTGAACGATTTTGTATCAAAAAAAGTTAGAAGAGTTAATATTTAAGCTATGTATGTTTTTTTTAAATGCATAAATAAACATTCTGTTCATTTGATTCAACATTTTTATTGAATAATATGATGATATACCCAGGTTAGTAAAAAACGGTGTAATTTTGAATTTTGTTGTGTTAACGAAAAAATTAGAAGAGGGTAGGGGGCCCTGGATGAGCATTGCCTAGGGGCCCTTACAGGCATAACCCGGCCCTGATCACAGTTGATGAAAAGTAGCCTAAATATCGGAAGTATGTAGTTTTTTACAAAAATAAAGCCGCGTAGTATAATCCAAAAAATATAAGTTTCATTTAATTCATAAGAATTAATTATATACATAATAACTATAAATCAATACTAGTTACATAACTAATTAATTCACTAAGAAATCTTATCTTTGACTTGCGGTCAACATTATTATTATATAGAAATATATGGAATTTATTTAAAAACAAATTATGTAACCTTTAATACTTACTCAACGTCTGACTACCAGCCGCACTTAAAGATGGTCCTACATCACTGTCAAGTCTAGGGCGCGAATATGACGCTCCCATTGACTGAACAGCCGGGCTTACATCACCCGATTGAGCCCATTGAAGCGGCGCGGACGAGGAAAGACGGGTAGCTAGTATATGTATACATAAAATATTAAGTTTAAAATAGTATGTAATAAATCAGTGGTGGCCTAGTGGTTAAAGATACCGTCTCTCGTGCACGAGGGCGCGGGTTCGATCCTGGTAACCAATGTAATTTTTCCGAGTCATATGTACTTTTTGAATGCATTTAGACATCACTGACAGATGAAGGAAAACATCGTGAGGTAACCTGGACTTATAGTTTCACAATTATAAGTTTGAAATCACCAACCCGTCTTGAGCAAGCGTGGTGATTAATGCTCAAACCTTCTCCATGTGAGAGGCCTTTGCTCAGCAGTGGGCTCTGATAGGCTGATGACGAATAGTCTTATACATTCATCATAAGAAAATTTATTTAAAAAAAACCATTTAAATTGATGTAGATTTTGAAGTGAAATATTTCTAGTGTTACGTAAAATGAATATATATTTTTAATGGTCATATATAATACTAATAGATGCATAGACTGAATAAATCAAATATGTTATGTATTAAAAAATGCGAAAATTAATTTTATTTAATATTAAGAAATAATTATATGTCGTATCTAAATTATCAAAGTAATGAAAAATGTACGAAATTTGTATATTTTTGTCATTAATAGTTACAGAAGTAAAACAATGGAATTTCAATTAAATTACTTTCATATGGTCTAGTTTCAATTTAAATGATGATGAGATGTAAATTTTGTTAAGAATGACGGTACTAGGTTTTATTGAAATGACTATGACTCATAAGCATATATTATGTTAAAACTGAACTAGTTATTGCTTTTTGAAGGAAATACTTTGCTTGTTAAACAATACAATTAAATTATATTACAACTTAAATAATTAGAGCAAAATAAAAACTAAATTTAATAAACACGAAAGTAATGCACGTTTTAATTATTTTTACAGTTATTACCGTCAAAATTAAACAAAATTTTATTAAGGAAAAAGGTTTATCATAATAATTTGGCTAAATTTTATTCTTAAACAAAAATTTCATAAAAATCTAAGCAATTCTAACGTGTAAATGTATACGTAATAAATATTTGAACTAAGTGTTAGAGTACTGCCATTTAATGGGGTTGTTGACCCCAACGGTGTCGACAACTGTATGTATGAAACTTTTCATTGCATTCTGAACCTTATTGGTAGAACAATAGGGTAATTTATTTTATGATTAATTTCCTGTAACTGTTTCAGATTTCGAAGAAATTTATTAGATTATTTTTATTGCTGAATGACATGAATTCAGAAATTTTACGAAATAGTATGGAATCGTAGTGAAACAAATAATTTTATTGTGACTATTATGAGTGTACTAATGTTATCTTTACTACATAAATACAATTTCACCGTCTGTTTGTCGTTTTTATATTGCTGTTTTCCGCAAATACGTATATAATAGTTATATAAGATATGTATAAGATATCGTTATTTTAAATATTAAAGAATTTGCCTTTATTTCATGTAACTTTCAAAAGAAAAATAGTAATATATTGTTATTATAATTAATGGTATATATAGCAAAATTTTAAAGAGAATGAGATATACTTATGATGGAAAATTTAAAAAATACATTAATAATCATCATCATCATCATCAGCCTATCAGAGAACACTGCCGAACAAATGCCTCTTCTCACATGGAGAAGGTTTGAGCATTAATTACCACGCTTGCTCAAGACGGGTTGGTGATTTCAAACTTATAATTGTGAAACTATAAGTCCAGGTTTCCTCACGATGTTTCCTTCATCTGTCAGTGGTGTCTAAATACTCTTAGAAAGTACATATGACTCGGAAAAGTCACATTGGTATTTGCCAGGATCGAACCCGCGCCCTCGGCAACGAGAGGCGGGCCTTTTAACCACTAAGCCACCACTGACTTAGTTATATATGTATTTGTATTGTAAATAATGACATACCTGACTGTGTTTTTCCATTTTGCGGCATGTTCACAGGATCACTGGGTGTAGGCGGCCCCTGTGTGAACAAACTCATCGCTGTGGGCCTAGAAAATTTGCATGAAATAAATTACTAACAAATTTTATCCTAATTATAGAAAAGTTCAAGTTCAGTTCAGTACTGAGTAAAGGTTTAATGTATGCGTTAAAAACAAATGTATTTTTATGAGTAAAATTTAAGCTTTTGACTAATTGCATACGAAAGTATGACACCGACATCAAAAGTGTTAAATTTCTGTGTGTCTGTTTGTTCCAGTTAATCTCTAGAACGGTTTTGCCGATTATAAAATAATTTTAACAAGCATGTTGGTAAAGTCACTAGGAGTGACTTAGCGTACTTTTTATTTATATTTTTAACTGTATATTTTTTTTTAACTTTATTTTTTTCGCTGTAACTGCTTTAATGAAAGCCAAAAAAATATTACGATTTTTTTCTTTAAATCACATCCTCTAGTTCTTTAGAATGTGTTTATATAACGAATATGAAATGACTAAAGATTTATAGTTAATAACTTTGTACTGATCGTATTTCAGTATGCGATAACCTAAAGTGTACCCGCTGTAACCTTACCATCAGTTTCTCTTCGTCTAACTAAACACACGCCGTTTGAAGTATTTCATTCATTGACATTGATACTATCACATCTAAAGCTTTATATACATATATATATATGTATAATGAAAAGTATCTATATTTAGTTGAATTACGTATGCTTGCTGAAATAGTTTATGTTTAAAAAATTAATATAACATAAATATTAATAAACTTCTAAGTAAAGTTAACCAAAAGTTATGTAATTAATTACGCATCGTGTGAACACCCTACAGATTAGGTGTACACACACACACACTCGCGCGCGGCGGCGTCTTGTTGTATCAGCACGCCGCCGCACGCGTCCACACTTGGAGCACTTGGAACGTGTCAACACTTTATTTATTTATACGGAAATTTGGTCAAAAATTAAGTACCTATTTTTTTTTACATAATTCGAATGAGAATCATGTACCGAGTATGCTCCTTAAATATTGATAGTAATTCACCAGTCACCCTGTATATAATTGATAATACCTATTTAAAAAAATCCCCGTAAAAATAATACGATCGATATTTTTGCTATGATATTCAATACGAATGTTAGTAACTTTATACTAAACAGATTGAAAACTTCCCATTAAAGGATATATTTGGAATTACGCCAAGACATGCTGAGAGAGTTCGACCGAAACGAAGTCTAGACAAGTGAAATTAACTTTTCTACCTAAACCAGTTGCTATAGAAAACTATTAATACGTGAGTTACTTTGAGGAAGAGATTTTGTTCTAGAAATTACTATAAACTTAGTTTTTATATGTATTCTAAGTAAAATATGTAAATTTCTTCATTAATTTATGTTTAATAGGACATTATAAATATTCTTCAAGGTCGAAATATTCAAAGTAATGTAGACGTTTGGCTTGAGTTTTATATTAAATTTAATATTTTTTCAAAGTACATATTGTATAATTAATAAATATATTATACAGTATACCATATGTGTTAACTCAATAATAAAGAATTTCATTTATCACATGTATTTGAACAAACAATATACAACAATATACAAAGGTGGTAATTCATCTGTAGGTAGGTAATCTCGTTAATTTGCTTTGACGGTCAATTTGTAACACAGACAAAGTCACGGTTAAATCTAGTATCTTTCATTAATAGATTTGATAGAATAAATCATAAATTGTTTTAAAATGTAATCGTGCAAGTATGATAAATATACTAGTTTAAACTCGCGACTTCGAATTCGAGTTAATTTCAGAATCGGAAATGTATAGCTATAAATAAGCAGATATTGGATTTTATTAAGTTTTTTCTGTCGAACGTAATGAAAAGCATTCTATGTCCATCTCCAGGTTCTAAGGTATCTCTCCACTTATTTTCATCAAAATCCGTACAGCCGTTCTTGAGTTATAAATAGTGTAAGTAACGCGGCATTCTTTTATACATATACTAGTAAACCTGGCGAACTCCGTTTCGCCACCAGAAGGCTTTTATATAACATTTCGTTTGGTGATTAAAAGATGAAGAATTTTTTGTTTTATATTTGAAAAGGAAAATGTTTATTTTACAACAGTAATGAATTCATTTCGATTACAAAAATGAAGTGTTATTTAGTTGAACTACTCTAAGTAAATGAAAGTGAATCCAAAGTAGATACCGAATCGAAGCGTTATACGTGTCCGCAAATTATCCGTTTCATTGAAGTGCTCCTTTGTAAACCACATTTTTTGTTTTTTGGTCTAACTTTAACACAAATAAAGCGTATGATTTCCAAACTCGTGAACATACAAAATATAACTGCCCATGTGAAAAACAATGATTTTCTAAATTTATCCCGCAAATACTAAATGGTTTTAAGAGTTCAAACTACAAACACATTACCTAAATATTTTTATTTTTATATAGTAGATTTATTACAAATATCTAATTGTCATCCATACGTCATTACATATCTGTCATTATACGTCAATTGCATAGCTGTCAATTGTGTTATTCCACGTTTTATAGTGACTGACGTTTCATGTCAAGTCCCACGGGAATACTGTCGAACGGAATAAAAAGTATCCTATTGCAATTTCCTGGTTCTAAACTACCTCCCTGCCAATTTTCAGCTGAACCGGTTCAGCCGTTCTTGGGTTATAAGTGAAGTCACTAACACGACTTTCTTTTATATATATAGATAATAATTTATGCCACTCTTATATCATTTAAGTTTGACGAAAAGAAAATCTTTTTACAATTAATTCCGACTTTTTTTTAGGTAATGAAGAAAACATAAAAGTTAAAAGTCATTAATGTAGAAAATATTTCAGCTTAAACTTTCTTCTGATAATCTGCTTCCAATGTAGATATTCGGAAGTATCCAATGCATGTAGCATTTTTTACGCGGATTTGCACTATCACCGACTATATATAGCATATATTATATAGTGTAATGTATATAATGTTTTTTATATATGTACGTATTCTATGTATTTTCTCATGTTTCATACCTGGTCTCCGGTCGTTTCCCCATACTAGTGATGGTAGCCTGTTCATCCACTTCTTCAATAACTTCGTTAGCTATCTTCATACTCCCGCCAGGTCCCGGCTTGTTCAGTGTGGGATTACTCGCTGATATAGTGAAACGTGTACCTTGTAATGATAAAATCATTGCTAGAATAATTTTATACTTATATATATGATATATGGAGTTAATTTTGACGTATTCTTAATTAATCCCTACTTATATTATAAATGCGAAAGTAACTCTGTCTGTCTGTTGCACTTTCACGCCTAAACCACTGAACAGATTTTAATGAAATTTGGTACAAACATAGAGTTGACCTTGAGAAAGAACATAGGATAGTTTTTATCCCAGACTTTTGAAAGGTTCTCTTGGAAACGCGATATAAGCGAACTCCACGCGGGTGAAGCTGCGGGCAGAAAGCTAGTATGTAATTAATTTGTTTTAAATTATATATTGGATATACGGTACATATATAATGGAATTAAATCGTCAAAGTATTGTTGTGGTGATTTTATCAATTTTAATTCAAGGTCACATGTTCAAATACAATTTTATAATATATTAGTATTTGCCTGTGACTATGTCCGCGTCAATTTCGGAATTAGCAATATGTGTATAGCTGACCGGGCAAACTCTATTTCGCTGTAGAGGCCATAAATAACCACATATTGTTAAACATTATGTGGTTATTTATGGTATTCTAGTACTAAGTTATCTCCCCGATAATTTTTAACCATATCCCTACAGCCTAACAAAATTTTCTTTTATATAATGAATTAACACCCTGTATATATATATATATATATATATACAGGGTGTTAATTTATTATTTACTTAACTATTTCTTTTATATAAACAGTAAACTCAACAACACTCATTATTGCACACTGATCTAGTAGTAGTTGCACTTGACCGATTTTATTTATTACACGCGATGTTATCAAACTATAAGATTATTTCAAATAATAAATAATGAGGCTATGTGAATGAAAATCACACATTTTAAATAACACATATGTAGTTAATAATTTAAAGTATTCTAGCGTTATTTTTTTTAGCTGTAGAATCCTACCAACATTGTAATTGCGAAAGTTTGTGAGTGTGGGTATGTTTGTTACTTCTTCACGCTCAAACGGCTGAACGGATTTTGATAAAATTTTGTATACAGGAAGCTGACATCCAGGAATAACATATAGGCTACTTTACTTTACAAATCCGCGGGGCGCAGCTAGTGATGTATATATGAAAAAATGAACTGAATAATTATATAAAAACTCCTTGCACCAACCTCCATCGGTTTGATTCGCGACTTGCGTGTTCATTCTCTGGTCGTCTTTGGTGAAAAGTCTCTTCAGCATCGAGGTGACGGAATTTACCCTGGTTATGGGTGTTTGTAAGGAAGCCATTGAATTACTTGAGCCCATTGAATTCCTATCCTCCTTCTTCCCTCGCCTGCTCCCGCGGGACACTATAAAGTGTATCCCGGATTGTGCGTCGTCATTCATCTGTAATTGCTGGACAAACAAAAAATTATGAAACATATGAAAAATATTATGCATATAGATCGAGGAACAAGAAAGAATAGGCCAGAATATGAAAGTAATAATAATAATTATTATTATAGATAGAATAGATAATAGTCAAAGATAGATATGATTTTGTGATTAAGTTAAATTTACGGCATTTTTTATATTCAAACATAAAAAAATCTCACAGAAAGTAACTCACAGAGAGAATTTAGGTTCTAATTTCCATAGATCCATTATCAAAGTAAAACACTGAAGATATTTACAGCTGACATTAATTTTTATACCAAAACAATTATCACGACCAACGATAGATAATACGAGGAAAGTAAGCGGATAAAGCTTGTTAGAAACAATGATTCATGTCATAAAGTTAGTACAGAATGATATAAGTGAAAAAATATTTGAATTATTTCATACTACCATGCTGCATTCCATTACTGAAGTTAATAATGACGTGTTTCATTCATATTAATATCAAGGGCTGCCAAATATTCATTTATATCTTTATCAATTGGCTGTGTATTGAATCTTTAATTCAAGGTCAAGTAAATTAAGATAAAGTATAAGTTTTACAGTTTTCATATCAAATTCAATCCACCAATAAGTACTTACACCATTACCTCAACCTGTAGCTAAGAACAAGGCAGAGAAACAATGGTCTGTTTTATTGTGTTGCACAGAAACTGACGATTATTTTAACAAAGAAACAACTATTCTTAATTTCAATAGCAATTTATATTAATAAAACTATATTTTTTTGAATTATTTTCAACTTGAAACCGATTACAGAAGACGGAACATCTCGTCTTACAATGATTATATACTAAGCTATGTATTGTATTAAATATACAATACAGTATTCTGTATTGTAATGTAAATTTACTTAAATATATTAGAAATCATAATGTAAACTTCATATTAAATATATGAGAAGTATAATCGACAATAAACGCTAACCATTGTACCTGAATATATTAGAAATCGTAATGTATTAAATTTATGTTTAATATAATCGTCTTTTTCGACACAATAAACCACATACCATTGTATCTCCGTAATTGGCTACCCTTACACCGACACAGCAAATCCGTCAGCGTGCAATGCTATAATAATGTATTTCTAACCTCGGGAGGCGCGAACTTGTAACTCACGGTGTTAGAGGGGATCATTTCGTCTATTTTCACGTTAGATGGCGCTACTGTGACCATGCTTCTCTGTCTCGGCGGGACAGCGACGCGGGCTGTTGAAGGTTCCGGATGTTCCTCACGTTGGTTCTCAGTAGCTATCGTATACGGTAACTCAGACGGGAACACCTCATCCCAATACTGATCCCGGATCAGTTCCGGATGCTCGTGGTGCATTTCGTCAACTATCATGTATGACACCTAAAAAAAAAATCCCTATGTACTAATGTTATAAATACGAAAATAACTCTGTCCGTTACGCTTTCACGTCTAAACTATTGAACTGGTTTTAATGAAATTTGGTACAGATATGGAGTTGACCTTGAGAAAGAACATAGGATGGTCTTTATCTCAGATTTTTGAAAGGTTCTCTTGGAAACGCGATATAGCCGAACTCAACGCAGGCAAAGCTGCGGGCGGAAAGCTAGTTATATTTAAATTGTTCGAGGTTGATTTTTAATTCAGCGTTACTTCCAGTAATGTCTAAAGCCAGTATGTATAGTTTTCAAATACAAGTTGATACTTAAATGTTACGAATACAAAGAAAATATAGTATTTTATATTATAATAATTCGTGTATACTAACTTGCAAATCTCTGTCAATAATCCAATTCACTTCGAAGTCGTCATCGTCTTCGCCGAACGGATTTATAAGTGACTCGGCCACTTTCAACCAACCCATGTAGAAAAAGAATTCTAGGGTCGTGAATATTGGGAAATAGAGGTCTATATTACTGATATAGACAGACGAGCTGTGAGATTGGAGTTTATTATCAACCCATTGGCTACCCAATGCTGATGTAATGAAATATGAGTATACAGCTATTGTAACTACCTGAAAAAAAGTTTATACTTAAGGAAGGAATTTCATATTCGACCTCACATAACTAAAGGTTAATGACCTTTGAACACGCGAGTTATGTCCAAAATTATCATGATTCATTAGAATTACCTGAGTATAAACTAATGGTACACTAATAGTGTCGTAGCTCAATAATAGACCAGCTTGACCTCTGAATTTGTTTAATTCGTCAATTATAGTTTTAACAGCGAAATCATCTCTTATCCGACCCTCCTTTCGGGCCCTCGTCACTATACTTGTCGCCCACACGATCGGCAACCTGCAAATTTATTATCAATAAAACAAAATAATCACACAAGAAAAAATCTGATTCTAAATCCTTAAAAAATTTGATTCTAAATCCTTAAAAAAATCTGATTCTAAATCCTTAAAAAAAAATTGATTCTAAATCCTTAAAAAAATTTGATTCTAAATCCTTAAAAAAATCTGATTCTAAATCCTTAAAAAAAATTTGATTCTAAATCCTTAAAAAAATTTGATTCTAAATCCTTAAAAAAATCTGATTCTAAATCCTTAAAAAAATCTGATTCTAAATCCTTAAAAAAATCTGATTCTAAATCCTTACCAATGCTTGGATGGTTTAGGAAATTTATCATTAAGATTATCTAGTATAGTTTTTTCATTTTCAAGTAAAAGCCCAGCTTCTACTAGATTGTTGAGTGTAGGAAAACGTTTTTTAACTCGAGGTGAGATCATTGTGAGCACCATTGTGAGACAAACACAAACGTAACGTACAATAGTACGACGCATTAGACGACCTCTCTCATCCTGAAAAACATATAAAATTAACCTTCTAATAGTATATAGGAATTTTATAGATGAAAGAATATATACATATATCGGCGCTACCAGCTTTAATAACGGATGCGTATGAAAATAATTTGAGGCTGTCATCAATTCTTATTAAACCTCATTAGTAATTATGATTATTGTTAAAAGTAAAACGAAATCAATGGAGAATAGAACTATCTTTGAATCTTGTTATAAATATGACGTCTGGACGCACGACGGCGGACTCTAGGACTTGGGAATTTAGAATTGAGGATTGATAATTCAGAGTTCAGTGAGTTCGTATCATTGAAGTATGTTATTATGAAGAATCTTTGAGAAATACAGGAGCATTAAGAACAATTGAAGTTTCATTTTACAATATCATGGACCGTACTAGAAGAAGTGACATTTGTAACGTCAGTGAGGCTGGCGTCCCTCTCTTTAAAAACAAAAAAATTGTAATAAAACCAATATATATAATGTGTGTTAAATACGCGAAAACTACAGACAGAATTTATATTAGGCTTTCAGATATTATATCTTATATTATTCGTTACATCTACATAAAGACGATACATAAAAATCACTAAATATATGGAATAATATACATATAAATCAATGTGTGTTTGTTAAAGACACAAAAACTACTGTCTACAGACAATATTTGTTAAACTATAAGATATAGATTTATTAATAAATGCTAAGTAAAAATATATTCAGTGAAGTTACTGAAACAAGAATTATTTTGTATCATTTATTCATTGCTAAACCTCAATCTGATTTCCGGTGTGACGTCATCGGAAACAATGCCTTTTTATATTTCCGTGTTTCGTTTGTCATGATATGTGTATCAATTACTGAGAACTCACAATTAATTACTTTGTGCTTACATAATAATGACTGGTGATAAAACAAAACGCTTTATCTCATATATGATATATCTATATAATATTATTGTAATAATTCCTTTGATGTATAAAATGTATGATAATTTTTTATTGTTGTTACAATTTTGACGGTTTTATATGGTTTGATGGTCTTTTTTTTTAGTAATTATTCTATAAGTTTTATAATTTAGAGTTATAGGATTAATTAATTTTTTTAATATATTTTATTATAAAGCCTTATTTACACACTCATATAGTTAGCAATGGTAAAGTCTTCGGTTATCGGCCACGTGTGAATGAACCCTTAGATAACTATAAATTTTACGTGTATTTTTGTTCTTTGAATTAAGGCCAAAAAAGTAATGAATAATGCATGTAAAACTGATATATGTATATGTGAACCGATCAACAGCGCCATCTATATTATACATATATTTGTGTCATGTGTCAGAATAAAATTGACAAAAGTTACGTATAAATCTATTATTGTTTTATACGAGATTTTGTCTGCGATTTTTCATGTGTAGTTTTTGTTGGTTGCGGAAGTAACGTTGTATTTTTGGAAAAAATATTATATATACTATAAAAATTGGGATTGGAATCGAATTACATTGTTTTGTGTAAAAGTATACAAAAAGATAAAAATACAATACTGTTTGATAAAATCATTCATTATTACTCCAAGGTTAATTCTTTTTACTATATAGTAAATAAATCAATATAAATAAAACATAAGAATGTATATAGAATATGTGATGTTTAATATTAATATGGATAAATTAAATAATTCATACGTTTAAACTAACTGGATTTAACGACATTTTTTAAAGTAACACTATTAGAAAAGAATATATAAAAAAAATTGGCTCAAAAAATATTAAAAAAACCAGAATATATAAAAACTTTTTAGTATTTAAACCACATCTTGCATGTGACATGTTTTCTAAACGTCATATCACATGTTCTTATCTGGCTATCAAAGTGTACACGCTTATCTTAACGTCATCGTATGTAATAAACGACTTATCCAAGGTGTTAGAATTCAAAGATCGCTATCTATATCAAATGCAACGTGACCTATTTTGTTTGAGAATGGACATAAATAAAATTAGATTCGCAATATATATTTGGTGGTAATGACATATTTTATTACGTTGTTTGTATGAAATAGAGTAAATAAAGATAAATTAATTTAAAATATTCAATCAGTATATATTTGATGAGATCTAATTGTAAGACTTTCGGATTATTCGTATTTTATTACTTTTAAAAACTACATACTCCCGAGGTTTGGATTATTTTACAGGAACCGTGATCACGAACAGACGATATTAAGTATTCCTCTTCCTGGCAATTTCCCTGTTTTAGCCAGGGTCTGCCTGACAGACGAAATTTAGTATGTGTAATTAATTTCATTTAGTATGTGTTTGAATTGAAAACCCTTATTCATACGTATTCCTATTTATCTAAAATAATTTATTATAAAATATATTGAAAAAAGAATATAAGATTATTATGTAAGTAAGCATGTTTATTAACATAAACTGTTTGCTAAACTCTTAGTAGCCAGTGACCCTGCGCACTATACTTATCGCGTACTGAATGTTGCCACTCCATAATAATTATCAAGATAACGATAACACTATATCTAACATTAAAAATATTAATACTTCAAGATAATTCACTGTCTTTTTGTTTGTTTAATACAACGAAAAAAAGATTATTCTGCCAAGAGCGAAATATATGCAGAATAAACGTCGACAATGTACTTACAGCGTGAAATAATAAAATGAATTCAATTAAAAATTAAAATATACTTCTTATATGTAGTATGAAAAAATAAAACTACGAAAACGCTAAAACTCGTTTTTGTTATATATATACTGGTATAGACTTAAAATCATCTTTTAAATATTCGAACTTGTATAGACATGTCAAAAAAAAATTATATATTCGGAATGAGACTTTGTAAAACCGCGGGAATGTCAAAGAGCGTTTTAATAATTCTTATTATCGATAAAAAATTTTGTAAGTAGTAATAATTTGCTTAAATAACATAATGTAGAAAGTTATAAAACATTTTACAAGAAAAATTAAAGATGCAGGTGATAATATAATCAAAATAAATTTATCTTTTCCGGAAGTATTTATCCATTAAATGCGTTCTTATTTCTCATTAAACGTTAAATTGTAATACAGATAACAAAAGAATTAATTAATTATACACTTTTCATGTCAGTTTAAGCATTTTTAGCGAAACCTAATATATAGATTCCTATATAAATGTGATACAGTCACGTCATTTTTATGCTCTAAATGATATTTTCCAACAATAAAATTTTTTTTTTCACTTGCCAGTCTTAAAACAAAAAAATATTGCTGTAGCTTTTCAATGTAATATTAAGATATATAGGGGAGAATCGGATATATCGTACCACTTTTCACTTTAACTCGAATATTTCGACTATAACACGTCTTATAATAATTAATACATATGTAAAATAAAGTTTCATATTTTAGCTTCCTAAGAAAAAGAGAACAGATCCTTGCGATTATTCTAACATTGTTAAAAATGCTTTTTTATAGAGGCTTGCCATCGGTACGATTTAGCCGACTAGTCGTTTTAATCGTACCACTAAGTCTTTAAATCGTACCATGGGTGTTTAAGTCGTACCACTGAATGAAAGACATTAAAATTCTCAATCAAATTATTTATTTTTAACTGTTAGGTAAGTAATAAAACAACATTATTTATATCTTTTAGGTAATAGAAACATAATTTTTAACTCTTAGGTTATATAAAGGAACTATAAGCTTTCTCAGTAAAATATCATGATTATACTATGATAATGAGATCAATCAACATAACTAATAAAAATGAGACAAAAAAAAACAGTAAACTATAATAATAAAGTAACAGTTAACAAGAATGTTATTTGTAATATAATTATTGTGCATATTTCTTAATGGAAACAATAATGACAGATGTCTGGATTCGAAGTAGGTACATGTCTCATGTAGCCACCGTTTACAGCGAACGCATTGAATCCAATCAACTTTTCGACAATTTTTATCGTAGTAAGAACAATTGCACTTTCGACTTATATTTTCAAGATCATCATCGCTGTCATCATCATCATCATCTAGTTCTACAACAAGTGTCTCTCCTGAATCATCGCTACTGGTGATGAAATGAGGTCGTTTCGTCTTATAACTTTTGTACTTGGACTTGGGTACTTACTATAGGTACTTGCGGTAGTACTATAGGTTCTGGCGTTTGGTAGTCGGGTAAATCGTACCAGTACAATTTAACCAACTGCAAGTGGTACGATTAAACCAACTAAGGCATTTCTAAAACAAAAGCAAATATCCGGCATAAACTCAAAATCTCCTTACGAATGTACGACAATATTTATATTAATTCCTACAAAAAATGTTTTTCTTTTATTACTTGCACAGTTGTTAACTCACGTCGATTTAAACTAGTGGGTGAAGAGGGATGGTACAGGGCCACGATTTGGCGTTGTCAGTGTAGAAAATAATATTCATTAAATAGGAAATTTAGAAGTGGTACGATTTAAATGCTAGTACGATATAACCAACTCTCCCCTATACATAGTTAGGAACTCCTTGGACAAGAAACAAAATAGAAGCAGTGCGCAAAATGAACATTGACACTTTTCTGGTGGTCCGTCGTCGAGGCGACATCGCTCAAGGGTTTTGACTGTTAATATTGTGTTGGCAATTAGTTTAAGGCTATTTTAAGAATATTACTCTGTAAGTACTTTATTTGTTGTTTAACTGGAGTTAGCAGTTCATCATCTTATTCCTTTATTTACCTTCTTGTTGTTCATTTTAATTAATATCGCATAGTCAAATTGTCAAATGTCATACTGTTATTTTATTTAAAAAAAAATCGAACGAAGTTCCTAAATATATATATAATATAGACTATTTACCTGTCCGTGTATAGTCGCGGAGACGAACACAGCTATAGAGTCAGGCCATGGTATGGTGGTGTACTGATTCCACCATCGATTCATTACGACCGTCACGTAGAAACCAAGAACAAACGACAATGGTATCACATTGCCATGAAAACTGCAATAGTTTACAACACCTTCAAATGTCCTGCAAATAATATTTCTTTGTAATATGTTAAAGAAATTTCGACACTAAAAAGTATGACTTAGAGTATAATATAGATTGTTTTCAATGTCCAATTTATCGTATAAAATGTGGTACGTCGAGTTAATGTTTTTTTTTAAGTCGTCTGTTTAATTAAGTTCAGTTCTTAGTTCAATGCTCTTTTTTCTAAACCATGCAGTTTTTATATGTAATAATTATATTAATTATGGCTCACCTTTTAGACTCCTCGTTCAATAACAATCTATATGTTAGATTTAATAAATAATATGTAAGTAAAAAAACTAACAAATCCAGCCATACTAATTTGTATATACTTCCTCTCCATCTGGAAACAAAGAAAAAAAACATTAATTACTTTTTATTATTACGATTTTTAAATATTTTTTTACAAATTATAAAAAAAAAACAAAGTTTTTTATTAATATGTATGGAAAAATTGATAATCATAAATTTGCATATACATTTTTTTGTATTTTTATTTGAAATTAATATTTGCCATATAAAAAATCAAAAATTAGTATTATCTTTATTACAATTAAAATAATTAATTTTTCCAAAATCCTCGCTATTCGGAGAGTATTTCATATATAAAAAATATTAAATTTAAGTTGGGCTTGGACATCGAATCTCGTGTGCTTAGTACAAGTTTGCATTGTCACTATATACGTAACGTTTAACAGTTTTGTGTTCGTAAATCTTTGTATTTTATAACGAGCGTTATATAGGATCCCCTTAAACCTACACCTGGGTCGCAAGTCCCAGGCACTGTTGAGGCTCCTCTCCCTGCAATGATGGACCCACCCGCACGGTGAATCTATGGGATGCTGAGAGGTTTCCTCTCTTAAGATTAAGGGTAGATTATTTTTGAATGAGACGCGAGTATCGCTCCGTATGTTTAGTACGATGCAAACTCGGAGTAAGCGTACAGTGTTTCGCTACACTCAACTTAGATTTCGTATTTACGATTTTTGTTTTATGGAATCTCGATAAATAAATATTATGAAATGGTAAGAAGACCTTATAGTATATAAAGGCATTTTTTTCCATTTAACCTAATAGTCACAAACAATATCCTACATATATACCTTACATTATACAGGGTGACTGGTGAATTACTATCGATATTTGAGGACGTGATATTTGACGATCATATATGACAAAATAAAAATTAATATAACATAAATATTAATAAACTTCTAAGTAAAGTTAACCAAAAGTTATGTAATTAATTACGCATCGTATGAACACCCTACAGATTAGGTATACACACACACACACACTCGCGCGCGGCGGCGTGTTGTTGTATCAGCACGCCGCCGCACGCGTTCACACTCGGAACACTTGGAACGTGTACACACTTTATTTATTTATACGGAAATTTGGTCAAAAATTAAGTACCTATTTTTTTTACATAATTCGAATAAGAATCATGTACCGAGTATGCTCCTTAAATATTGATAGTAATTCACCAGTCACCCTGTATAGTAGTCAAAACATACTAAGGGTCACGACATTGTTTTACTATTCTGACTAAGTTCCAAAGTTTGGGGGTGGGAAAATTATTGAAATTAGTTCTTTGATTTATTTTTAATGAAATTAATTTAAAATTTATGTGTGGAATAAGTACAAACGTGCATATTAATTTTGTTTTAATAAAATATTATTTTTTCATTAAAATTACACATGACAAAAAAGACGGTTTCTCAGAAAACGTAATATTCTTTTAGGTTTTAGTTATTTTAATCCTTCCTAAGGCCCATGACCTTCTGAACACATTCTTAAGATCCCGATGGCATACTCTCAACCTGTTAGTTACCAACTAACTATGTACTACTCTGAACCAGTTAGTTTCTTCTGGAATTTGTTCCCAGGTTTTGAGCACGTTAACCAGTTGTACTTCATTATGCATACGCTGATTTGTGTTCTGAGCGCTTGTTTTCAATAACTCATACATGTGCTTAATTGGGCTAAGATTCATACTTTTGACGGACCATTGTGACTCCTGTTTACAAGCTTATAGAGCTTTCCTGACGAGTCTAGCTGTAAGAACGCAAGCATTGTCGTGCAGTAATTCGAACTCCACACCATTTCTTTATGCCAATAACACCACAAAATGAGCTGCTTTACGTATCGCTGAGCTGTTGCTGTACCTTCATCGACAATAATAGTGACATTCACCTACACCAATATATTAAGATCCCCAAATCTATCAATTTTATGGATGCAAGCATCGCTCAACTTTTCGTCTCTAAAGTATTGCTGAGAAATTTTAGTTTAGACTCGTCTAAGAATAATACTGTGCTCCAATCACTCATGTCCCATTGCTGGCCTTGCGAATTATAATCTGTTTGCATGATGCGTACTTATCAATGTAATGCGCACTACGGGCCTCTTAGACAATTGTTGATCTTCGTGCAATCGATTTCTGATCATTTGGTTACTAATGCAAGTACCGTCGCCTGCCGAAGCGATTTTGTAAGGAGTGAGCGGTGACGCATCGCTGTCTGAAGGCAGTCATGCGTATATGACGATCTTCCTGTGATGGGAATGCACGAAATTTGACTGATTTTACTTGTTACTTGAAATCAAATCGAAGCATTCTGGATCGCAAGTTATGAAAAACCCACAGAATGCTGAGAATAGCCATCCTGAATCAAAATGATGGCTTTAGTTATGGTCTGCAGGTCCATACGTTTTCGAATTCTCGACATTGTTTTTTCGAAATATTATTTCACGCTTAAACTTAGCAAAATTTGTCTAATCACGAAGAAATCTAAAGTTAATTTTAACGGTAATTTTGAGTGGTTCAGAAAAACTAACACATTCTATTCATTAAAAAAAAATAACAAGTGGTATATTGCATCAATTGCAATGTTTGTTATCACTTTAGTGACCAGCAAAAAGAATTAGCCACTTAGAAATGTTTTAAAATTCTTTGAATTCAGTGAGAATTTAAAATAATTAAGTGGGCCTTGCATTTTGACTAATATACTAATATATATTTAAAAAAATGTCCTTATAACTTAAGATGTAACATTGCCTTAATTATCACTGATATCAAAGTTAATAATTAAATAGAAGTAAATTATGTGAATTAAACAAATCAAAGCTGTCTTAAGAAATGTATGAACATTTCATACAAATCTGTCTCATACATTTCACATTGGCTCAGTCTGTCAGTGATATCTAAATACTCTTAGAAAGTACATATGACTCGGAAAAATTACATTGGTACTTGCCAGAATCAAACCCGCGCCCTCGTGCACGAGAAGGCGTGCCTTTTTAACTACTAGACCGCCACTGACTGTCTCAATTGTCTCATACATTTCTCCTTTAATGTTTTAAATCTATATTCTATATTCTATACATATAATAAAATTGTCGAAAAGTGCTGTCTGTACATTTAAAAAAAAAATAGCAGGGGTTATTGTTATGTCGATGTCGAACCCAAAAATGTAATTAACTTTTTTTGTCTGTTTGTTTGTTCACGCTAATCTCAGAAACGGCTGATCCGAGTTGGATGCGGTTTTCACGTATATATTGTGGTATGCTTCAGTTATGCTTTAGTGTTTGTTTCATGTCAATCGGTTCATAAATAAAAAAGTTATGTCAAAAAAACGCTGCTCATAGTCACTATTCCACGCGAACGAAGTCGCGGGCACAGCTAGTAACTAAATAAAATGCTACTATAATTTATGTTTATAAAGTTAATAAATTATTTATTTATCTAGAATTGTTATCACGTGTTGCTATCACCATTTCATTGTAATCAATTGAAATCGATCATTACTTATTGCGGCTTAATTAAAGTTACTTATCAATAATATTTTACTTTCCAATATGACATGTATTACAGGAAAAGGAGATTCTTTTTATCAGAATTTTATTAATAGCTTCGATAAAATGTTTGCTATAAAGGAATTCAGATTATATTAAAAAAAATAAACTATGTTTTAGAAAAATATTAGAAACGAAAATATGTCTGTATACAGGGTGACTGGTGAATTACTATCAATATTTAAGGAGCATACTCGGTACATGATTCTCATTCGAATTATGTAAAAAAAATAGGTACTTAATTTTTGACCAAATTTCCGTATAAATAAATAAAGTGTGTACACGTTCCAAGTGTTCCAAGTGTGGACGCGCGCGGCGGCGTGCTGATACAACACTACGCCGCCGCACGCGTGTGTGTGTGTGTGTGTGTGTGTGTGTATATACCTAATCTGTAGGGTGTTCATACCATGCGTAATTAATTACATAACTTTTGGTTAACTTTACTTAGAAGTTTATTAATATTTATGTTATATTAATTTTTATTTTGTCATATATGATCGTCAAATATCACGTCCTCAAGTATCGATAGTAATTCACCAGTCACCCTGTATATAGCGTATTTAAACAATTACGAGAAAGTAATTCATTTTACAGTGAAAAATAAATATCAATATAAAAATATAAAATACAAATGTATATCCATATGTAAAATGAAAATATATAAAAAGCAAAACTTTTTTCATGTATTAGTCTTGACTCTTGAAAAAGACCCAAATTGAAGCCACAAGAAATGCAATAACAAACGAATTTCGATGCCAAATTGATTAACCAAATCGTAACAGTATAGAAAATATTTTATCTCAGATTAAGTATTGCAAAATCAAATATTTGCACTCAATTCTGAAAATCAATTATCGAAATTTTAAAACTAAAACGGCGTTTTAAAATCAAAAGAACAAATCGACTTAAAAGAACACATATTTTCTTTCATTTTAATCAATTTATTATAGTTATCATCTTAAGATATTGAATATCTCTCCAATGTCACCTTGTTTAGAGACGACGCAATGTTTTTATTGCAAACAACATAATTAAAGTCACACTATTCCTTGCACATGCAGGACAAATGTTCGCAAGTAATTTAAATGCTAAGAAATCCTCTCTCAATGTCGAATTACTGAGCAAATATGGATTGAACTTTTGAAATAACAAAATTATAATGGACGAAGTTATTGGATTGTATATTTAAAGCTTAGGTCAATGTATTGCAGCTTCTATTTTCGTTGACTTAATGGGGGGTAGTTCCATAGTCCTATACAAGTTTGGTTAGGAATTTCAGATGAGTTTCGTACAGTAATTGAGACTATCAGAATCATTTCATTAATGATATTTATTTAAATCCTAAATACATTGATCCTTCCCTTTTTATCTAAAATTAATCCCAAGTGCATTTTCTCTTATTATATAGTAAATACGGCGACATAAAAAATTTTGGTATAAAATATTTTAAAAATATTCTAGATACCAAAAGTTTTACGCTATGTAGAAATAAATAAATGACTATAATTAAA